CTGCAGGGTAGCTTGTGCATGCCGTAGAAAATCCATGAAGAGATCCGCTTCAAGTTTTAGACAAAGTTTTTATCTCACAGAATTCTTCTTCGTGCTGCTTAGTTGACAGCTTCATTCCCGGTGCCCTTCTTAATCCCGGTCCTGTTTCCAGCACAGAAGAAAACTTGGTAACCTTCTCGGGTGGGGAGGGAGGGAAGAGGGGAAGCAGCTCTGGATATTTTGCATTATTCACAAGTAGTTCTCATTACAGAAAAGGCTGCTGACCCCTGTCCTACCAAGATGCATCTTCTACGGACCTGTGCTTAACTGCCTCGTGTCTTCTTACCATATCAAGTTGACCTATTGCTGTCTGGCCTAGTCTTAGTTCAACATGAGCCGCAGCTTATTTTAGGTCAGCAAAACCCAGCTGCTGGACAGGAATCCAGAACTTATGAACAGGAGTCACTGCGTCTGCATGAAGCATTGCAGCGTTGCCTGGTAAACAGATGGTACCGTACACGCACAGATCACAGGATAGTTGCTGCTGCACATTTTTATGGCTCAAGAAACAAACTGCCGTGTAGCTTGAAAAGCTGGTTTTTGTGATACGGGGAGAGATATACGTCTGTAAGAAATGGCTCGTCTTTCCATCATTCCCAGCGTGGTGCAGTGGTTAAGAGTGGTGGACTCTAATCTGGAGAACCAGAGGGGTTAGCTTTCCCACTCCTCCTCCACAGGTGACCTTGGGCTAGTCACCGTTCTCTCAGAAGAATCAGGCCCATAGCTACAGTGGGGCTATTGTGGGCTCCACCCCCGTCCTTAAAGGGCCAGCCCCACAAGATTTCCTTCTGAAAATGGTAAGGGATTTCATTGCTTTAGGCAGGGGAAGGGTGGAGGGTGTTTTTGCTTCATTTATGTCCAGGGTGCCTGTTGTGCGGGGTGTTTGTGCTGCATTTAATATAATTTCCGCATATTGCTACCGCTGGGGCGGGTACCATCAGAGGGAACGGGACGTTTTTAGGGGACGGCAGGGCAGTGGTGATAGGCACTGCTGTGGTTGTCCAGCTATTTGCCATTGAGAACACCATCTTGGTCTTAAAATCTGGAACTGAATAGGGGAGCACCGGAAATGTTTTTATGATGTCTATTTAATTGTCTGTTCTATAATTTTAATATTTTACACTGTTTTATTGTTATCACTCGGCATTATGCCCCGTTAGCCGCCCTGAGCCTTCGGGGAGGGCGGGATATTAATCCAAATAAATAAATAATTTATTAGTAGTATCATTGTATTTATTATTACTTAAAAGTACAGTGGTTTAGAGACAGATAGAAAAATGGCAGCCCCATGAGAATTTTTTTTGCCCCACAAGCCACAAAATCCTAGCTACGAGCCTGCTCAGTCCTCTTTCAGCACCACCAAACCTCACAAGGTGCCTGTTGTAGGCGGGGGTCATTTTGTAGAAAAAATGGTGCAAGAGCTCTTTAGTATAACTCATGAGTGTAACTTATTTGCATATGCCACACCCCCTGACATCACCGGAAGTGTGTCAGAAGGCAACACCCATCGCTCAGGCTCCACTGGACTCTTTTGGATTGCTAGCTATTGGGGGGGGGGGGGTGGGCAGGTCTGTCCTCGACGAAGCTTGTACCTGAATAAACCTTGGTCTTAAAGGTGCCACCGGACTGTTTTGGAGCGGGCGCCGCGGGGGGGGGGGGGCTCTGCAGTTTACCTGGCTGCTTCTTGCTCTGACTGAGGGCTGCTGGGAGCAGGGGGTGGGGTTTGTTGCATGTGCCCGCCCCTGGGCTCTTTACTGCCAGAGCTCCACTCCTGTGCGCTCCTGCAGGAAGTGACCCCTGGTTGTAGGGAATGTGATTTGTAAGAGGCTTTGAGATTCCTTAGGGAAGCGGGGTATAAAAACCTACTCTTCTTTTGCCTCTAGAAAGCCAGCCAAGCTTTATTTATCAAATTCTAAGTCTCCGCCCCTGTGTCTGTGCATCTGAGATGCTAGAGGATCTGCTGGCAGTTCTGGGGGCCCCATAAGGACTAAAAGAACGCACTTCCTCCAACAAGCCTTGTCTTTAAATCCCCCCCTCAGCCACAGAGCTGAGTTATCCTGAAAGCGCCTCCCCGTCAGTCAATGGGGTCTCCTGCCTGGAGGGAGGGAGCTCCCACATCCTCATGAGATACGGCCTTCCCAAGGGCTTCTCTCGAGTCCACTGACACCCTACCCACAGTCCAAACAACTCAGGGGAACGTACAGATAAAAGGAAGTCTTTCTCCACCCAAAGAGTGATTCACACATGGGATTCACTGCCACAGGAGGTGGTGGCGGCTACAAGCATGGACGGCTTCAAGAGGGCATATGGAACAGAGGTCCATCTGTGGCTATTAGCCACAAGGTATAGACAGGAACTCTCGGTCTGGGGCAAGGGATGTTCTGTATTCTTGGTGCTTGGGTGGGGCAACAGTGGGAGGGCTTCTGGATTTCTGGCCCTGCTGGTGGACCTCCTGATGGCCCCTGGTGTTTTTGGCCACTGTGTGATACAGAGTGTTGGACTGGATGGGCCTTTGGCCTGATCCAACATTGGCTTCTCTTATGCTTTTATGTTCTTACATGGGCTAACCCCATTTTATCCCCGTGATAATCCTACAGGGTAAATTAAGCCAAAATACTTACAAGGCCCAAGGTCAACCAGTGAGCCTCACTGCTCAGGGCCAAGCTACATGAGACGTCAACAAGCTGGGTCTGGGTTCACCAGCTCTGACTGGCTTTCCCCACAGCACCTGTGGGGAACATCATGTTTTAACACCTGTGGGGCCTAGGGATGCCAGCCTCCAGGGGGGACCTGGGGATCCCCTGGAATTACAGCTCACCTCCAGAGATCAGTTCCCCTGGAGAAAGTGGATGCTTTGGCGGGTGGGCTCTGTGGCACCGTTCCCCACTGAGGTCCCCGTCCTCCCCAGGCTCCACCCCCAAATCTCCAGGTGTTTCCCAACACAGAGCTGGCAACCCTGTGGCTTGTGTTACTCAAGGCGTTCCGCAGGAACTGAGCGTTGCCGAGGTGGTGGAAGTCCTGATTCCTGGCCTTGGGTTGCCAGCCTCCAGGCGAGACCTGGGGACCCCCCGGAATTACAGCTCATCTCCAGACGACAGAGATCAGTTCCCCTGGAGAAAGGGGGTGCTTTGGAGGGTGGGCTCTGAGGAATGGTACCCCGCTGAGGTCCCTGTCTTCCTCAGGCTCCACCCCCGAATTTCCAGGAGCTTCCCAACCTGCAGCCACCTATCATCCCTCGCCAGTGGGCTGGCTACCCTAGCGGGGCATCGATTTGGCATGAGGTCACAGCGTGGAGGGAAATGAAGACTCCTGCTTCCCCCGCATTAATTTCCAAAATGGCCCTGGTGAGGAGTTATGTGCATACCCATGAAATGTTCTGGGGAACCAGGGCGTGACCGATGAAAAAACATCTTGTGTAATTTGGCCCTGAGGTTGGTATTTGAACAGGGGGTTTGGCGGGGCTTGTCAGGCTGCTGGGGCAGATTCTCTCGGGCCAAGTTTCAGGGGTGTGTGCGTGCAACGGTGTCACAATATGTGGGTCAAACTCTGGTCTCCACGGCAGAAGAAGCCATTCACCACTGCTATGTACCATTGCTGCTCACGATCCTGGATTTTATTTATTTATTTTTATTCAGCCCACTCCCACCTCCTGCCTTTCTCCCCAGGGGCAACCCAAAGCGGCTGACATCATTTTCGTCTCCTCCGTTTTATCCTTGCAGCAACCCTGGGAGGCAGGTCAGGCTGAGCGGGTGGGACCAGCCCAAGGTCACCCAGCAAACTCCCGCGGCAGAAGGGGGGAGATTTGAACCCGGGCTTACCGTTTTAAAAGCAAAGCTGACCATTCTGTTCCAAGGGACGCAGCTGTCACAACATTCTCAAGACTGAACTTGCCACTGTACCTGAGCTTGCAATTCGGCCTTTTGGGAAGACCATTCCTCTTGCAAAGCCTGGATTTCTTTCGCTTTCTCCTTTTGGAAGCTGGCGAGAGCCTCCTCGTCTTCTCTTTTCAGTGCCCTTCCAGAGTCTGACCCAGAAGCGGCAGCATTCATTTCACTGAGAGACAGAGAAAGTACAAATATATTTTGATCGAACCTTTATCAGAAATATCAAACATGTTTACGAAGGTCATAGGGACAGTTAACAATAGCGCCCCCCCCCCCCGGGTACCTTCGTTTCTCTTCATTCCTGGTGCTTGACGGCGCCGCTGACTGCTCTCTGCTTTTTGTTCTGCTTTTATACTGCCTGGAAACATTTTTCGGCTGCACAGATGCATCTTGGGACTAAAGACAAAGATAACGCTAAGGGCCGACCACGGTTTAGACAAATCTTTACGGTGACTTGTAGCAAACTGGATCGGGTTCCGTTAGGAGGATTAGATATGGCCTGAGTTCCCAGTCCAATGCGCTTGTCAGTTTCTCATGTCTCACACAATTTGACAAATCAAAATAAATACAGCCCGCTTTGAATGAAATAACTCTGTGCCCATCCGTTCGTCCGTTCATTCAGTTTATGCTTGCATGCACAGCCTATTCAAAGTAATTATACCAATTTAGCTAACACACACAGGTTTATTTAAGCTGTATGAAACAATGATATTATGATTTAAGAACCTGAACCCCACCCCTTAGATCAGCAAATGTGGTGTATTCCAAAGCTGCCATGGAATGCATGATGTATGTGAAACATCTCATTGACTTGTAATGTTAAGCTTCGTCCTGGGCTAGGATCCAAATACATCCAATTGTGTTACTGGCCCAGGAAGCACCTAACCAATCACCTTCAAGCAAGCTCCCCGGGCGGGAACATCCGTGATTGGTCCTTATGCGAACAACCTTATTGGTTGGTATTTGTACAGTGGGTGTGGCTACATTTTATTTATTTATTTATTTACTTATAAGTTCAATTTATACCCCGCCCTCCCCGCTACGCGGGCTCAAGGCGGCTTACAAAGAGGCATAAGCCAATATCAGCCGGGAATGTTTAAAAGCAGGACAGCTGCAATGTGAACGCTGTTCTGGCTATCCGATGTTGATCTGTGTTCGAGTTGTGTTCGAGTGGAAGAATAAAGTTGTGTCCTTGCTGAATCACTCGCCGACTGCTTTGTTAAGCAGTAAAGAAATAGGAATTAGAGTTGCCAATTCCCAGGTGGTACCTGGAGTTCTCCTGGAATTACACCTGATCCTCCAGACTGCAGAGATCAGTTTCCCTGGAGGGAGATGGCTCTCCAGGTTACATCCCCAAATCTCCAGGAATTCCCAGCCAGGACTGACTTGACAACCCTAATAGGAATCCAGATAAATATTCACATGAAATGATTTGACGAATGTGAGAGAATTTTCTCAGTTAAGGTGCAGTCTCCACAGCGGAATGATGAGTACAATAGTTCTACCTTTCTCTTATACTATGCCTCTAAGATAGATCCAGGTTGGTCACCGTGTTGGTCTGAAGCAGCAGAACGACGTTTGAATCCAGTGGCATCTTTAAGACCAACAAAGTTTTATTCAAGGTATTTGTTGGTCTTAAAGCTGCCACTGGACTCCAACTTTACTAGAAGAGGGAAGAGATTGCATTTATACCCCACCCTCCACTACCCAAAGGAGTCTCAGAGTGGTTTACAATCTCCTTTCCCTTCCCCTCCCCACAACAGACACCCTGTGAGGTGGGTGGGGCTGAGAGAGCTCTTTCGAGGACTGCTTATGAGAGAACAGCACTGAAAGAACTTGTGACTGCCCAAGGTCATCCAGCAGGCACATGTGGAGGAGTGCGGAATCAGATCCGGTTCTCCCAGATTAGAGTCCATTGCTCCTAATCACTACACCAAATTGGCTCTACTACTATGCCTCTAAGTTAGTTACAGCCAATTCTTTTCTACAGGATTCAGGCAATGCTTTCTTCTTCCTGGTTCTCTCAGAGTTTAATGATCAAGGAGCCTGTGATAGGATTGTTCTGTACCAGATAAAAAGTTGCTCACACATAGGGTGCGTTCAGACGGGGGATTTACAACGGTTAGGGTGCCGGTTCCAACCGGTGTACTTACGGGCGTTCACACGGCGAACATCTGCCTCCCGTCCCTAACCGTTGTAAATCCCTTTAAACCGTTGCACTCTGCCACTAGGTCCCAAGTGGTGGTAAACAGAGTGCAACAGTTGTAATCGGTGCACCCCGGCATCTGATCGCTTTCCTCCGTTACAGAGACACTTCCGTCGGAAGCCTGAGGCTTCCGGCTTTCCCCCGCCATTTTTTTTTTAAAGGAAGCGATATGCGCTCGGGCGAAGCTTCGCCCTGAGCGTTTGTTTTTTTTAAAAAAAAGCCTTACTTTAACTTCCCGGAGGAGTCCGGGACTACAGGGAGGCCAGGTTGGGCTTTAAACTTTAAAGGTAAGTGCTTACCTTTAAAGTTTAAATGTAATGGGGGGGTTGAGCATGCGCAAAAATCGCCATTCTCTGAATGGCTGCCTATGCGCATGCTCAACCTGTCCTTTAAAAAAAAAAAAGCCAACGCCCGCAGCGTCTGAGCGGGCGTCCAACGGAGGGCTCCGCAAGATGGAGGGTAAGTCTGATTGCGTTTATGCCGGCAGAAAGGCACCCATAAAGTCTGAAGGCACCCATAAAGTCTTTCTCAGTACCCTGGACAGATTTCCCTCAGTCCTCGGAGATAAAAATCCTGCAGGTGGAACACATGCCCCCCCCTCCCCCGTGAAAATCTGTGACTTGAACATTTGACCCCCCCCCCTCGGCTCTTCCCTTCTGGGGACAGAACCTAATCCAGCTGCTTTCCATGCCTGTCCCACACGAGGCCTTTGCTCAAGAGAACTGTGCAGAGGTTACATGGGGGTGGAATCAGTGCTTCAAGGGTGGGAGCGGAATTCTAATGCTTTGCATCCTCATGTGTCTCTTACCCACCACTGTACACACATAAATTGGGACAGAGCCTATGCACGGCAGCTGCATGGAAACCCTACGGGGGGTTGCCATAAATCAGCTGTGACTTGACGGCCCTCCCCACCACCTGCAGCACGGGGAAATGAATGAAGCCATGACCAAATGCAGCACAGTGAAGAAAGAGAAAGATACCTAGAGGAACAGGGCAGGTCTCCCCTTTGCTGTTTGCAGCCCCCAAATCCACTCAGTACACCACAAAGAAAAACACTGAAGTGTTCAGTTCTTTTTGCTTTTCCAAGCTAGCCTGGGAGGCTGCTCATGGTTTTTAATCTCGGAGTGCAGGTCTGGAGCGCATTAATGTTAATGCACCCCCTGGGGAAGGGGGGGGGCTGCTCTTTCATCTCAGCCCCAATAACAAAGTGAGCTGAAGTTACAACGAATAACTTGGAACCAAAACGTTGGCCGGGATCCGTATTTCCCCAGTTAACAGAAAAAGACACATCCCCCACTCACGCACCCGCCCTCCTTCATGAATCAATCATTAATGAAGAAATTAAGTCAACCACTGGGACTCCTGTTGTGCTTATTAGGTTATAAAACTACCAGGGAAAGAATGACTGAGTCAGCACCCTGCGAATGTCAAGGGGTAAGCTCAGATTCAGTGGGAACACAGTGAGTGAGTCACACAGAAGATGGGGGCGGTCCGTGGTTCCTCCCCCCTGCCCCCAACATCAGCTTCCTGGATGTCGGATGTCCAGTCCACCCACTTTTGCCTCAGGTATATTCGTTTCTTCGGCTTTAGTACTGAGTCAAAACCCCACAAACATTTGTTTGCCCAGCGGGAACAGGGGGATAGAAAGGAAATGTCATGTCAGGGCGTTTTCGGTGGCAGCTCCTTACCGGTGGAGTGAGCTCCCGGGAGAGATCAGGGCCCTGCGGGACCTCTTACAGGTCCGCAGGGCCTGTAAGACGGAGCTCTTCTGCCAGGCTTTCAAATAGGAGCCGCCACCATAGTTACCATCAATCCAGAATATCGGACTGGCCCACTCTGAGCCTCACCGGCAAATATCTGGACAGTGGGACTGATCTTAAGTCCTGAAGACGTAAGGAATGCAGACACAAGCCATTCATCTTAAGGTTACTTTCAGGGGTCATTTCGTAGAAAAAGAGGTGCAGGAGCTCATTAGCATAACTGATTAGCATAATTTATTTGCATATGCCACACCCCCTGACATGACCGGAAGTGTGTCGGAAGGCTCCACTGGACTGTTCTGGATTGCTAGCTAGTGTGTGGGGGGGAACGTGCAGATCTGTCCTCGCAGAGCAGGGAGAGCTTGTACCTGAATAAAACTTGGTCTTAAAGGTGCCACTGGACTGTTTCGGACTGGGGGGCCGGGGGGAGCTCTGCAACTTGCCTGGCTGCTTCTTGCTCTGACTGAGGGCTGCTGGGAGCAGGGGGTGGGGCTTGTTGCATGTGCCCGCCCCCTGGGCTCTTTACTGCCGGAGCGCCGCTCCTGTGCGCTCCTGCAGGAAATGACACCTGATTACTTTGATGTAGCGAGCACTTTATTGAGGGTTGCGAAATTTTTAAACCGTCCCGGCGGGGGAGTGTCCTGCTGGTCCGGGAGTTGTCTGAGTATGGGCGCGCGCGCGCGCCGCCAGAGCATCACCGGAAGTGACGTCATACGCTGGGCGGGGCCACGCCATTTGAGGGGAAAACTCTTTATTTTCCCCTCAAATGGCGTGGCCCCGCCCAGCGTATGACGTCACTTCCGGTGATGCTCTGGCGGCGCGCGCGCGCGCCCATACTCAGACAACTCCCGGACCAGCAGGACACTCCCCCGCCGGTACGTTTTAAAAATTTGGCAACCCTAGTATAAATATAAATAAATAAATAAATGTACACCGGGGGTGGGCTAAAGTGGGCCAACAGAGGACCACTGGCCAATTGCCAGTAGATGAACAGTCATCTGCTGGCTCTGGGATTAGGGCAAAGAATGGAGGATGGGTTGGGCTGTATCTGGACAGCACTGGATGTTGCGCTATCACTGCACAACAGCTGTCATGTGCAACTGGATCATCCCATGTCGACAAGCCAATCTGGTTGCAAATGAGCGTTACAGTGGATGACTGTGTGGTATCTTTGGGTCGGGTCCTGCTAGGCTCTCCCAAGGGAGGGAGGGAGAAAGAACTGGCTGGCAGCTCCACTGGGTGGCTTCAGGGCTTGGCTGGCCGGTGCCTCCTCCTGGGGCAGCTGGCTGCAGGGGCAGTGGGGTCTCCCCAGCACAGAGCCGAGGTAGCTTCCCCAGACGCCCTGTGCCTGACCCCGCCTAGACTGGTCAGCAAAACAGAAACTGGAGAAGGGTCATTCTACCACCACCACCCCATTCTGCCACCTT